CAGTCACGACATAAGCCTAAGACTGAAAACCAGGCTTGTCAGATGTTATATTTTTTCTATCCTGCTCTATGGAGTAGAGAGTCGGTCTCTGACAGAAGGCCACCTGAAGAGACTAGAAGCATTTGAAATGTGGATTGTCAGGCGGCTGTTACGCATAAGCTGGGTTGACAAGATCAGAAACGAGGTGATAAGCCGCCTGGGAAAGCCAAGGGAAATCATCAAAACAATTAAAAAACGAAAGTTAGAATATTTCGGACCTGTGATGCGACACCCAGAAAAATACGGCATGCTCCATTTAATCCTCCAGGGAAAGATTGAAGACAAACAAGGTCCAGGCAGAAGAAGAACATCGTGGCTTCAAAATCTAAGGGACTGGTTTGGACAAAACTCAGCCGCACTTTTTCGTGCGGCTGCTGATAAAAACAGGATCGCCAACATGATCGCCAACGTCCGATAACGGATATGGCACAAGAAGAAGAAGAAGATATGTACACTATTGTGTAGTAGGCAAGGAGCAGACCAGCATAGTTACAACGTTATTTATTGACTCAAACTAGAACTGGAGAACTGCAGGCAATTTCCTGTAATTTACACTCTGAGCGCACAGGGCTTTAACCAGTCACAATATTTGACTGGTTAAATATGAATATTCAAAGTTTCCCTCAGAAACAGTTGGAGTTAACAGTCAGGGTCATCTAAAGGTTAGTTTCATTTTAGCTTCACAAGCAGTTGGACTTAAGTTAGTTTCACTTTAGCAGAGATTAACACAACTTTATATATATTCAATACATAACAGACACCCAAGAACCCAGCAATCCCACTATTATCCACAAGCACAAGAGCGTGCACACACACAGAGAGACACAAGTCAAGCAGATTTGTCAGTCATGGAGGTTTCTTCCAGTGTTTTGGCCTTCAGATGTTGGTGGGGTTTCTGTGGGTTTAAGAAAGAGTCCGTTTGATAAAAACCTTTTGCCTCTAAGAATCAATTAAGGAATTACACCATTTCTCTCTCTTTCCTGATGCAAAAAAAAAAAACCAGTCCCAGCAAAGAAGTCATTCCTCTTTTTGATCAGCACTCAAAAGGAGTGGTTGGAAAGTGGCAGTGGTAGCCCATTGAGGGCATGGTGGGGCTGGCATCTCTTGTCTGTTCAGGCTGCCCTTGCTGTCTCTGCCAGCTGGCCTAAAGGGCCATTCAACATTCCTTCTTCTCACTGACATTGTCATGGGTCTTACAATCCCAACACTTATCATGTATCTTCCTGTTGAGAATGTCCACCTCTCTAAGACCACTGGGTCCTTGAACCAGGAGGCCCTTAGCCCCAAATCTTTGAGTACAAAGAAGGACACAGCCATTCAGGGAGGATCGTCAAGTTATGGTCAATAAACCATATCACAAAAAAGATGTTGAGAATTTGGAAAAAGTTCAGAGAAGAGCAACTAAGATGATCCAAGGCCTGGAGACTAAAACATACGAAGAACGGCTGCAGGACTTGGGTTTGGCTAGTCTAAAGAAAAGAAGAAATAGTGGAGACATGATAGCAGTGTTCCAGTATTTGAGGGGCTGACACAAAAAAAGGGGGGCACGTTATTCTCCAAAGCACCAGAGGGCAGGACGAGAAACAACGGTTGAAACTGATCAAGGAGAGAAACAACCTAGAACTAAGGAGAAACTTCCTGACAGTGAGGACAATTAACCAGTGGAATAACTTGCATCCAGAAATTGTGGGCGCACCATCACTGGAGATTTTTAAGAAGAGGCTAGACAGACAAGGACATGGCAGCCGGGCAGTGGGGACAAGACTCCGCCCTCGTGCCCTGTTACGCGCAGATGATGCTGCGGGGCATGGGCAGAGGGCGTGGACACCATGGCACTGCTGGGCTGCCTGGGCAATCTGGGTGGCCCTGCAGGCAGGTGGAGCACGGAGCCGGGGTGAAGTGGGCAGGGCAGAGGTGGAGGAGGCAGGGAGGTGGAGTCATGTTTTGGGCGCTTGGTCTCTAAAAGATTTGCCATCACTGGTATAGGTTCTCCTGCTTGAGCAGGGGGCTGGACTAGAAGACCTCCAAGGTCCCTTCCAGGTATTCTATTCTATTTTATTCTATTCTATTCTATTCTATTCTACAATCTGTTCTATTCTATTCTATTCTATTCTACAGTCTGTTCTATTCTACAATCTGTTCTATTCTATTCTATTCTACAATCTGTTCTATTCTATTCTATTCTAAACTCAAGAGGCCAGCCACGATGATGCAATCTCAACTTGTTGCGATTCCTGCAGCAAGGAGGGACTTGCAGAGAAAGTGGCTTTTGTTTCCTCTCCAAAGGATGGAGGAAACCTCTGCCAGAACCCAAACAATCCAGAAATCACTTTGTGACTGGGTTGCATGAAATTTCAGATAATCTCTATTGACTCTCAGGTGGTGTGACTAACAAGCGTTGCCTCATAAGCTGACCTTCACTTTCAGCCAGTGTTTGCCTTATCTGCTCGTGCCACTTGAAGAAGAGATAACCAGATTTTTCTTTCCCTTTTCTTCCTCTTTTTCCACTCTAGTAGGTGAATGACAGTGCGGAGAGGGTGAAGAGAGGGAGAGACTATTTGCAGTAGCTCCAAAGAAAAAAAAGAAAAAACCTGGCTCAAAAACAGTAACTGTGAGAGGGACCTTGGAGTCCTAGTGGACAATCCCTTAAACATGAGCCAGCAGTGTGCAGCAGCAACCAAAAACGCTAATACAATCCTTGGTTGTATAAACAGAGGCACAGAATCAAAATCACCTGAAGTATTAGTTGTTGTTATTGTTGTTGTTAGTTGCAAAGTCATGTAAGACCCATTGCGACCCCATGGGCAACGTTCCTCCAGGCCTTCCTGTCCTCTACCATCTTCTGGAGTTCATTTAAGCTCATGCCTCCTGCTTCAGTGACTCCATCCAGCCACCTCATTCTCCGTCGTCCCTTTCTTCTCTTGCCCTCCATCTTTCCCAGCATCAGGCTCTTCTCCAGTGAGTCCTTCCTTCTCATTAGGTGGCCAAAATACTTGAGTTTCCACTTCAGGATCTGGCCTTCTAAAGAGCAGTCAGGGTTGATCTCCTCCAGGACTGACCGGTTGGATCGCCTTGCAGTCCAGGGGACTCGCAGGAATCTTCTCCAGCACCAGAGTTCAAAGGCTTCCATTCTTTGGCGCTCAGCCTTTCCTAGGGTCCAACTTTCACAGCCATACATTGCAACTGGGAAAACCATGGCCTTGACTATACAGACTTTTGTTGGCAAGGTGATGTCTCTGCTTTTTAGGATGCTGTCTAGATCTGCCGTAGCTTTCCTCCCCAGGAGCAAGCATCTTTTAATTACTTGGCTGCAGTCTCCATCTATGGTGATCTTGGTGCCCAGGAAGATAAAATCTGTTACTACCTCCATTTCTTCCCCATCTATTTGCCAGGAATTGAGAGGGCCGGATACCATGATTTTGGTTTTCTTAATGTTTCAATACCAGAAGTATTAGTACCACTTTATAAATCCTTAGTAAGGTCACACCTGGAATCCTGCATCCAGTTTTGGTCACCACCTTGCAAAAAAAATGTTGAGATTTTGGAAAAAGTTCAGAGAAGAGCAACTAAGATGACCAAAGGCAGGAGGCTAAAACATGTGAAGAACGGCTGCAGGAATTAGGTATGGCCAGTCTAGAGAAAAGAAGGAGTGACATGATAGCATTATTCCAGTATTGGAAGGGCTACTACAAAGCACCAAAAGGCAAGACAAGAAACAATGGATGTAAACTGAAGGAAAGAAGCAACCTAGGAGAAACTTCCTAACAGCAAGAACAATTAACCTGTGAACAGCTTGCCTCCAGATGCTATGGGTGCTTTATCATGGGAGGTTTTGAAGAAGAGACTGGACAGCCACTTGTCTGAAATGATATGGGGCTCCTGCTTGAGCAGGGGGCTGGACTAGAAGACCTCCAAGGGCCCAGCTCTATTCTGATTCTGAAAGCCAAACCTGGAGCAATGAGATCTACTGGGAGCATGGTTGAATTCCAGGCTTCCACCACTCAACTGCTCCAGCTGTCCCATCACCTCAGTCTGGTTTGGTCATGAGTCGTGGGGACTGAAAGACAAATGGAACGCCCGAGACTGGATAGGTGAAGTTGGCTTGGAAAGGAAATGGATGTATCAGCAAAGGTGGGCAAAATCTGAGGGAATATGGGAGGAAAACAGCCACCTCTGGGGCTAGGTTTCTACACAGGACTTAGAGCGATGGGGTGACATCTTTGGAAGTGGGAAGGCTGGATCCAAGCTGGAAGGGCACAAGCATTTGGACTTATATACTGCTTCATAGTGCTTTCCAGCCCTCTCTAGGGGGTTTACAGAGTCAGCATCTTTGCCCCTCACAATTTGGGTCCTCACGTTACAGACCTCAGAAGGATGCAGAATCAACCTTGAGCTGGTCAGGATCGAACTGCTGGCAGCTGGCAGAATTAGCCTGCAATGCTGCATTCTAACCACTGTGCCACCATGGCACTAGAGAGCTCTTTCTAGAAGTCCAGAGGGGAGGTGGCGCCACAGCAATTTCCCAGGCAGCCCTTCCTCCCGCCCTGCATCTTCCACAAACTTCAACTTCTCCACTGGGGCCCGCCTCTAAGGAGCTTCCGTGGGGCCGGGGAGAGAGGATCCCAATCGCTGGCGCGAATTCCTCTTTTCCGCGCCAAGCGGCGAAGGGGAGCGTTTCCTCTCGTCACCCAGCCCGGAGGCGTCGCCGGAGTCGCAGCGCCAAACGAGCCTCGCCACCCGCGAGCATCTTCCGCACCGCCTCCTGATGGCCCGGGGTGGGGCGGGGCCGGGGCGGGGCTTGAAGGGGGTGTGCCTCGAAGAAGCGGAGAACAATAGGCAAGCTGTGGAGTGGGCGTGGCCCTGGCCGGCAGAGCCACCAATCAATCGCTCCCAGCGGGGCGCACCCGCTTAGTGGGCGCGGCCAGCGGGACGCGGTGCCTATTTAAGCGAGCCCCGGCGCCGGCTCGCCCTTCCAGTTTTCGCGGGCATGGCCGGGCGCAGCTGCTTGTCTCGCGGGGTGCTTCGCGCCGCCACGTCCTCCGTCGTCGTCCCGAGGCGTCCGCGCTCTGCCCCGGTTGCGGCTCCGGCTCCGGCCACCCCGGAGCAGGATGCCGTCCCCGCACGGGACGCTGTGCCCCCGCACGGGACGCACCTCCGCCAACGCCCGGCGCCGCCGCCCCAGCCGCGGGCGGTGAACTTCTCGGATGCGCGGGAGGCTTTCCGGAGCAAGACCAGCGGCCAGCTCCTGCGCGGGCTGCTGGTGCTCCGCCTCTGCGCCCTGGAGCCGCTGGTGCAACGCGCCGAGCAGGTGAGCGAGGATCCGGCCGGTCCTGCCTGCCCGGAAGAGCCGAACGGCCGCGGGGAAGGGGTGACTCAGAGCTCCGTTCGGCTGCTCCGAGCCTTCATCCTCGGAGGCAGATTTATCTCGGCGTAACAGAAACGCGGCGGTGTCTTTTGCTTAAAACTGGGCTGTTATTTTGGACGGGAATCTTCAAAGGAGAAGAAAGACATGATTGACAGGGTGTGACAGGCTGTTGAATGCTACTCAACCCCCGACTCCTGTTCTGATAACGGAGGAGGTTTAATGCGCTTGTGACCCCCCCCCCCCTCCGGGAGGGTCCTAAGATTGGGTGCAGGCTGCCCCTTTTCTGGTACCACTGACTGGTTCCCCGGGGGTGTTGGGGAGAGGTTGGGCTGTCAAACCAGGGAGGGGGGGGGCGAGGTTTCTCATGCTTGAATTGTCCCCAGAATTACTGCAGTCCATGAACCGTGCATGCACGCTCCTTGCAAGCACCCCAAAGGAACGTGAGAAGTTTGGAAGAAGCAACTTTAGGGGTTGGTATTGCAAAAAAAGCAATGCTTGGATCTACCCTTATTAGCATGAACTGTGATAGCTCTAGGAGCTATTATTCCTAAGAAACTCTAGGGCAGTGGTTCTCCACCTGTGGGTCGGGACCCCATTTGGGGTCGAACGACCATTTCACGGGGGTCGCCAAACAACACAGTCTGCCATTTTTCCCCCCTTTTCCTTAGCTGTGCGACTCCCTTTTATTCTATTGGCTTTTGAAAGCCAATAGAATAGCCTCTCTTGAATAGAGTCTAATTCTATTGGCTTTCAAAAGCCAATAGGAATTGTCCAGGCTGTCTCTGCCCTGCTGAGCCTGCCAAAAGTCCCATTCTGCAAACGGTGCTGTACCAGTTGAGTAGTCCTTGACTTACGACCGGTTGAGTAGTCCTCGACTTACGACCGGTTGGGGGTCGCGGCATTAAAAAGGTTGAGAACCACTGCTCTAGGGCAGTGTTTCTCAACCTTGACCATTTTAAGGCATGTGGACGTCAACTCCCAGAATTCCACAGCCAGCATTGCTGGCTGTGGAATTCTGGGAGTTGACGTCCACATGCCTTAAAATGGTCAAGGTTGAGAAACACTGCTCTTAGGGAGTGTTTTGCAAAAGAATTAACATTTTTCTAGGTAATGGGATCAGCATGTACATGAGGCTACCTCCCCAGGGGAGGGGGGGGGTCAAGTGAGAAAGCCAGCCCTGTGACTGCCCCCCTCTTTCCACAGCTGATGCACCTCAGCCAGAAGCTGCTGGGCCAGTGGCTCTTTGAGAAGCTGATGAAGCTGACTTTCTATGGGCAGTTTGTGGCTGGAGAAGACCAGGAAGCTATCAAGCCACTCATCCGGCACAACCGTGCCTACGGCGTGGGCTCTGTGCTGGACTACAGTGTGGAGGAGGACTTGACCAGTGAGGAGGCCAAGAAGAAGGAACTAGAGTAAGAAACTCTTCTGATTTTGCAGTCATTGCAGCCGTCCAAGAAGTTAGGGCCCAAGTACAAAGATGCGTTTCCCGTCAAACGCATCATAAATCCGGTTACAGTGGAGTTGGAGCTTCCAAAAAGACTTTTTTTTTTTAATTGAAAATTTTTAAAAAACTTTTACAGAAACAGAAAAAAAAAACAATAACAACAACAACAAAAGAAAAAAAAACCCCAAACAATACAACCTTCCCCCAAGCCCTCCCAAATCACTCCCCTCCCTCCCCCCCCCCCGAGCTTCCCAGAGCAGAATATAGGCTTAATTAAAAGAAATTAACGAAATTATAAAATAATTAAGAACAAAATATATATGAATACAGAATTATAAACCTTAAAAAGAAGAAGTATTTAAAAAAAAAAGCAAAGAAAAGAAAAAGAAAAAGTAGAGTTTTTATACAAATTATAAAAAGGCTAAATGGTATTTTTTCATATCCAATTTAAATTGTATAAAATTTATCCATTTTTCCCATACAGCAAAAAATTTCTCTTGCGTTTGCTTTCAAAAAGACTTAAGACAAATCCACCCTGTATTTCATTGTAGAGTGCTCGCCCTTAAGGCCTAAAGCAGGGGCCCCTGGTTCGTGGACCAGCACTGGTCTGCACAAACAAGCAAAGCCCCATCCATGGGATGTAGGCAGTACACGAACCCAGGCCCCCTCCGGTCCGCAGAAAGATCTTTCTCCATGGAACCGGTCCCTGGTGTCCAAAAGGTTGGGGATCTCTGGCCTAAAGCAGCACCTCCTGCAGCACAACCTAATATGGTCAAGGGAGAACCACACTTTGAGATGAAGGAAATACTAGATTCTCGGAAGCACCAAGGTGCTACCCAGTATTTGCTGGCTTGGAAAGATTTGCCGGTCACCCAAAATGCCACAACTCTTCTGGTGTGGCCAACAGGCAGCAGGGGGAGGGCTTATCTGTGTGCCAAGGGGTGCCCATTTCCTCTGCAGCAATCATTTGGAGAAGTTGAGGTCATAGCCCGTTACATAAGAAGTGGTATGACAAGGGCGGGGGAGGCGTTGGCTTAGAGAAAGAGCTGATTTGAGGAAGGATTTGAAACGAGGGATGACGCAAGGCGTGCCCCAGACATTAATCTGCAGGAACTATTCCAGTCATGTGTAATTCTCAAGTTTGCTGTGGCCTTATCGCCTCTGAAAATTGAGTTTCGGGTTTCAGGCGGTGAGTCAAAGGCTCATGAGGAGCTTTGCTGTGCCTTGAGACATTCCTCCAGGATCTTTTCTTTTTTTCCCACAAGGCCGGTGGGGGTTGGGGGCATGAAGGGAGGTGAAGGCCAACACTGCCGGTGGAGGTGGGACTGACCGTTATATGAGTGGAACCGGTTAGACCAGTGTTTCTCAACCTTGGCCGTTTTAAGGCATGTGGACTTCAACTCCCAGAATTCCACAGCCAGCAATGCTGGCTGTGGAATTCTGAGAGTTGAAGTCCATATGCTTTAAAATGGTCAAGGTTGAGAAACACTGGGTTAGACCAACCTATCTACAAGCCAGCTCTGCATTGGTGCCTCCCTCACAACTAGCTTGGAGGAAGAGCTTCATTGTGTGCAGTGAGTGTGATGCCGGATTTCTCTGCAGGCAACCAGGCCTTTTTTTTTTTCAGACTCTCTGAGATTCTTCGGTGTCATTTACAAAGCAATCACAGGCTGATCTACAAATGATGCCTTTTTTTTTAACGCAGCTGCTATACTGGCAGCATGTGTTAACTTGCCCAGGGCAATACTTAGGATGTTTAAAATGACAGCACATACTGGCCTGTAGCATTGCAAGTATGAGGAAAGCTGGGCAGGTGATGCCAAATGCGATGGGAAAGGAGTCCCTGCACATTTTATTCTGCTAGTTGCTGACTATAGGGGGGGCGGCACTCCCCTCCTTTTTGAGAGCCATGAGCCAGCACTGTCTGGAGACTTTTCCATGGTCATGTGTCCAGCATGACATTGCAGAGCGTTGTTACCTTCCCACCGAAGTGGTACCTATTTATCTGCTCGCATTTGCGTGCTTTTGAACTGCTAGGTGACGGGAGCTGAGGCGAAGACAGGCACTCGCCCTATTGCGTGAAGCTTGGGTCTCAAACCTGGGCTGTCGGCTTTCCAGCTGATAAACCCAGCGTCTTAATCACTGCCCTAAATGCGATGAGTAGTGGTGGTGTAAGGGCCCACCTCAATCCTCCCTCCTATGAAAGCAGAACTCCTGGAACAGCTTCATTCCAAAAATAACTTTTATTAGGAGAGGTTGACAGGCATAAAAGGCAAGATCTGAGGGTTTCCCACACGAATCAATAGGTTAAAGGAACATCCAGCAAACTCCACCCCAATAGTCCATTTGGTCAGTTCAAACGGGCCAATCTCCAGGTGTGAACCCACTGTGGGAACAGGGTTGATAAGACGCTTCCGCAGGCAGAGATAAGCCAGATGGCCAGAAATGCATTCCTTTCTCACTCCAGGCCTGCATCATGGGAAATAGTTCAAAGAGCAGGCAGAAAGAGGGAAGCGGAGAGGATACACTGTATTGGCTATAGCAAAATGAGAGCAGATACATTATAGATATATTATACATTATACATCTGCAAGGCGATCAAACCGGTCAGTCCTGGAGGAGATCAACCCCAACTGCTCTTTAGAAGGCCAGATCCTGAAGTTGAAACTCAAGTACTTTGGCCACCTAATGAGAAGGAAGGACTCACTGGAGAAGAACATAATGCTGGGAAAGATGGAGGGCAAGAGAAGAAGGGGACGACAGAGAATGAGATGGCTGGATGGAGTCACTGAAGCAGTAGGTGTGAATTTAAATGGACTCCAGAAGATGGTAGAGGACAGGAAGGCCTGGAGGAACATTGTCCACAGGGTCGCGATGGGTCGGACACGACTTGAGGCCTTTGAACTATGGTGCTGGAGAAGACTCCTGTGAATCCCTTGGACTGCTCTTTAGAAGGCCAGATCCTGAAGTTGAAATTCAAGTCCTTTGGCCACCTAATGAGAAGGAAGGACTCACTGGAGAAGAGCCTAATGCTGGGAAAGATGGAGGGCAATAGAAGAAGGGGACGACAAAGAATGAGATGGCTGGATGGAGTCACTGAAGCAGTAGGTGTGAACTTAAATGGACTCCAGAAGATGGTAGAGGACAGGAAGGCCTGGAGGAACGTTGTCCATGGGGTCGCGATAGGTCGGACACGACTTCATAACTAACAATACATTACAGATACATTATACATCATAGATATAGCACCCAAGGCTTCCCCCAGCAGTAGAAAAGTCAAGTTTGAAAACGGGTCAAGTTAGACCAGAGAGAAAAGCACCAGGACATCCCCCCACCCCGGACACTCCTGTGATGGGGAGGGACAGTTGGGCAGCAGCTTTTTCAGTGGTTGGACTGAAGTGCAGAAGAGTTAGTGGAGAGAAAGATTGGGGTGACGTGATAGCTTCTTCCAGTATTCTGTCACAGAGAAAGGGGGGGGGGTCAACCTGTTCTCCACCTGAGAGTAAGGCACTGGATGGAAACTTATCAAGGAGAGATCCAATCTAGTTCTCGATCACTGGAGGTTTTCAAGAAGAGTGGGGCATCCATTTGTCTGAGGTGAGATGTGGTCTCCTGCTTGACCAAGAGATTGGACTAGATTCACAGTGTTTCTCAACCTTGACCATTTTAAGGCATGTGGACTTCAACTCCCAGAATTCCACAGCCAGCGTTGCTGGCTGTGGAATTCTGGGAGTTGAAGTCCACATGCCTTAAAATGGTCAAGGTTGAGAAACACTGGACGAGAAGTTATTCTATGTCCGATATGTCAAACACAAGGTCCGGGCGGCCAGATGCAGCCCGCGTAGTGGTCTCATGCGGCCCACAAAGCCATCCTGGAAACAGTGAGGGAACGGCCCCCGCTGCCTTGGCCCTCAGGTGGACCATGTGAGGCTCCTCCAGTGGACCATGCCTTGACACTTGCCCCGGTCCCACCCCCTTCTGCCAGAGACCCTCAGATCTGTCCCCCTCCTACCCAGGCCCCCACAGGCACCCTTGACGCGAACGATATAGAGCTGGCCACACCCACCCCATAGGCCACACCCACTCCATCCACGCCCACCCAGTAGACCGCACCCATCCTGGCCACATCCATCCGCCCGCCCTCCCAGGCCAACCACAATGCTGATGCGGCCCTCAATGAAATTGAGTTTGACACTCCTGTTCTATGTTATTCTGAGCAGTGCAGCTTCCTGTAACTTGCCTTCTTCCCCACCTGGCGTCATGTTGGGAAGAGGTTATGTAAAGGGAGCAGGGCTTCATCGTTCCAGTAACATGGCAGTTCTCCAAGAAGGCTGCCAATTTTGGCCTGGGAAAAAACACCCCTCCCTGGTCACAGAAGGTCCTTGGGGGACTCTGGGTCACCCCCTCCCTCTCAGCCCAAGAACTGATTGGGTAGTGGGAGGTTTGGATCCTGGTCCTTCCTTATCCGTGGAACTCGCTGTCCCCCATTCAGGCTACCTCTCAGCTCCACTTCGGAAATCCACCCAACACAGGAAAGGTTAGGGAGGCAAAGACGGCTGGAGTGATTGAATCTTGCCAGTGATTGTGCTGGATCTCCTCCTTGCTCCCTTTATACTGGGTTAGGATTAGCACTGAGTAGATCCCCTTTAAGTCTCTAAGGCATTCGCCCTCTACTGTGGTCATTTTAAGACAGGGGTCTTCAAACTTGGCTCTTTTATGACTTCAACTCCCAGAATTCCTCAGCCAGTGTGCCTGGCTGAGGAATTCTGGGAGTTGAAGTCCACAAGTCATCAAAGGGGCAAGTTTGAAGACCCCTGCTTTAAGATGTATGGACCAACTCCCAGAATGCCTTAGAATAGAGCTGGAAGGGATCTTGGAGGTCATCTAGTCTAACCCCCTGCTCAGGCAGGAAACCCTATACCATTTCAGACAAAGAGCTGTCCAGTCTCTTCTTAAGAACTTCCAGTG